TGTTTATTATTTATAATAAATCGATCGGGATTTTCTATTAAATGAGTTCATCCAAATGAAGAAGTTGGATATGAGTTTTAAGTCATATGGGTTTTAGCATCAACTTCTAGTACCAAATTCTGAATGGGATTAAGTTTAAATGCTTCAATCAATGGTTGTGAAGGGATAGTCTCTCTTAGAAACGGAAAACCCACAATAGCACAATGACTATCATCTCTGTTAATTGTGGTAATATTTGATACATAATTAAACTTGGGTTGTGTGCATTTCATTGAAATCTCCAAAGATGGGGTGTGATATTTCTCGCTAAATCTTTGGTCGTATGCATCTATAAGGGTGAGTGTGTATTTTTTCATGAGAGAGAGAGAGAGAGAGAGAGAGAGAGAGAGAGAGAGAGAGAGAGAGAGAGAGAGAGAGAGAGAGAGAGAGAGATTTATTACTAGTAAAAAATTAACATAAATAGAAAAAAACATTTAAAAAATATAGATGGGTAATTTAGTCTTTTTAAAACCAGGAATCTAAGATTTAAAACAAAATCCAAAAAATAATAATATCACAATAAGTATTTTTGTAGTTTTGTCAAAAATTAATAAACTATCTCAGATAGTATAATACCATCCAAATGGAAGCGGACCTTCCCATGATATCTAACCCACTTTCTGTTTGGAAATCCACCTCCCCAAAGAAAGATTGAAATTTAATAATCACCCATCACAATCACAAACACAAACACATATACTCACATGCCAACTAGATTCAACCGATAACGTACCCTCACCATCCCATCTGCATTTCAACATCAAGCCTATTGCAGATCAATGAAGAAGAATCGACGAAGTTTAATCTACTTGAAATCCATTCTCTACAAGCTATGACGCCGGCGATTAGATTCTTCCAATCTCGATCTGTTTACGAACGCCTTTGACCACACCTACATAAAGGTAATGATGATGAAGCGATCAGTGCGTCCATTTTTCAGTGTTCTGCTCGTCTTTGCCGCCGCCGCCGCGACTCTGTGTTTTCGGATCATTGTATCCGGCGCCTTTGGAGACATTCTTCATATTAGCGATACAGAAGCTACAGAGAAGGCTCCCTCAGTGTTTAATTCAGCTTTGTTGACGTTTGCTGCTTTTGATTTAGCTGAGAAGTCACTCAGACAAAACGTCGAGCAGCTGGTGGACATGGATTTCCGAAGCGATAACTTCAATCGCCAGCGATCGTTTCTGTCGGCGGGTAGGTACCGTATGGATACTGGTGCTAGGTCCGTTAGGCGTGGCCCTGTGGATCTCAGGTCGCCGGAGTTCTACAGTCTGTGGTTGAAATTTCGACGGTATTTACGGGATTGGTGGCGCCACCGTCGGTTTGATCCTGATGTGATGTTCGACATAGTCAACGTGTTGAAGACTGTAAACATGACCGGGGGTTTGGGATCCAGGCGGAAGTACAGGACGTGCGCGGTGGTCGGTAACAGTGGGATTTTGCTCAAGCGTAATCTAGGCGGAGAAATCGATAGCCATGAATTTGTGATCCGATTGAACAATGCTAGAATCGGTGGCTATGAACGATTTGTTGGCTCAAAAACCAGTCTCTCATTCATGAACAGCAACATTCTCCATTTATGTTCACGTAGAGGAGGTTGTTTTTGTCATCCATACGGCGAGAAAGTTCCTATAATGATGTACATGTCGCAGCCAGTTCATTTTCTCGATTACGCTCTTTGCAATTCATCTCATAAATCTCCATTGATGATCACAGATCCAAAGCTCGACGTTCTATGTGCAAGAATCATCAAGTATTATTCAATCAAAAGGTACTTGAAACAAACCGAGAAGCCATTAGAGACATGGAGCTCCGTTCATGGAGGATCCGAATTTCATTATTCCTCCGGTATGCAAGCCATCATGCTTGCTTTGGGGATCTGTGACAAAGTTAGCATCTACGGATTCGGTAAATCAGATTCAGCCAAACATCATTATCATACAAATCAGAAAAAAGAACTTAGTTTACACGATTATGAAGCAGAATATGATCTGTATGAAGATCTAGTCGCAAACCCTGAAGCCATCCCTTTCGTTTCAGATAAGTTCAAGTTCCCTCCTGTAACTATTCACAGATGACACATTGTCATCGTCTCATTGTAGCTTCTTTTACACACGTTACTCAATTCCCAATTCCCACTCTTCTTTTCTCAGATTTCTATATGAAACATTTTAATTGTTGAGAGATAAAAAATATGTAGACATTAAATTACTTCTAGTCATTGAAATGAAGTAAAAACCAAAATATATACAATGAGTAGATATATATATTCATAGAACCAAGTACATAAACACATATATAGCCGATAGTATAGTACTACCACATGATGCCCAAACATATTGCAAAATGACATCAATGATTTTTACATCAAAATAGACCATACTACCCCTAAAGTTCCTATCTTTTTAGAAAAGACCAAAAAACCCTTTACCCACATCAACCATCTTTACTCAACAGGAGTATCAGCACCAGCTGGATCAACTTCCTCATACACAACATCTTGTTCTTCAAACTTCACTCCAACCAAAAACCTTATCATCACCTGCAAACCCAAAACCCAAAGAACAAATGACCATTTTACCCTTCACGAAAATTACTTACTATTAAAACCCACAGTTAATTACCTGTTTAGGATCATAAACAGCATACTCATTATACTCGAGAGGACTATCTTTATGCTCAGATTCAACCAAACTACCACATGGCACCATGATATCATCCTTCCAAACAAAATGCTCTTTTTCATTGGTTTTCTTCCTTCCTAAACCCTTCACTCCTGCCTTTTTCTCCTCTAAAGACTCCGTATCTTCAGGCACCGAGGTTATTTCTGTAATTTCCTTCCCCAAAGAAGCCACAGCCAAAACTAGAAAACCTTCTGGCCTATCCACAGCTGTATACCCATACCTTGCAGCTTCTGCAGCCGCATCAGAACACACAATCGCCCTACCAAACTGTACACCACACTTGCTGACATCATCATAGTACAAAACAAAAAACAACATAGTACAAAAACAAAAAACAGAATGGTATAGTTATAGTTCCGTACCATGTATCCAGAAACAGGGAGTGTGCATACAGCTGGCAAGAATCCTTTATGCAAGTGCCTCAATAGATTCGAACTTCGTGTCCCTAAAGTTACGACACAATAAGATGATCTTTAACAAATTACTATAATACCCTGAGAGTGGGGAAAAGTCTCTTACTTACCACACCATAGAAGAACTTTATTTGGGAGTTTTTTGATATCATCATAAGAAGGTCCTGCACCTACTTCCACTTGAAACACATTCTCAACAGATATCCCATAGCTCTGAAAATTACAAAGATTAGATCACAAATTTACAACCGTTGGATCAATCATTAGAGAATATATAGGAAATGGGATCTTACAATCTCCCCAACTTTCACAGGCTCGTAGGTTTTTTCAACGTATTTAAGAATCATATTGTAGTCATCTGATTCCTTCTCCAAAGGTGAAATTGAGCAACCGAGTTTCTTGTATCTATCAAATAACGGGTCATCAATGGTGGATCCACTCATATCTTCTATAATCCTTGAAGCAACATTTATATCCCTCACAGTTTCAAGCACAGATGCACCCTAACACGATAACCATAAGAAGTACGTAACTTTACAGATTAAGAAATGAACAAATCAATAGATAACGATGAATTTTTTAATTTTAAATTTTGCTTACATGGTCTGCAAGATCTTGATGATCTCTGAAGATAAAAGGTCGTGTAGAGTGCAACAGTGTGAACCATCGTTGACTGAAGTCTGACCACACAGCGCTAGGTTTGTCTTCTTCCCCTTCTATCGTCTTGAATAGCTTCTCAACAAATTCAAGTAAAGTTTCTTCACCTGAAAAAAGGGACTTGGTTAACTGAATATGAATAGTAATTGAAAACTTGAAATTGAAAAAGTGAAAACTTACATTTTTGTATATGGAAATCGGTGAGCATGGCGACAGGAAGATCAGGTGCGTCAAGTCCCATCTCCATTAACGCATACCTGTAAATCTCTTGACCACAGAGCACTTTCATGAAATTAGCGACAAACGGATCAAGCTTGCAGTGAGCTGCAGCTGCTCCAAGCTGACGTAACCCTAGACCTCCATATCTGACGTCATAACCATCGTCGATGTCAATCGGGTAAAACTTTCGCGGCTTTTTCTGAATCTTCTTCTCTCGTTCCCATGGTTCGAATCCATTACCAGTCAACTCCTCGAACATTTCAGCGAACTCTTTGATTGCTTCATCGACGTTCTTCTTTTCTTCTACTCTTTCTTCTGCTCGTGGATCTGCTCCGACTTTCCCTCTTTTGTAATACAAATGGATCCGATTCTCCGGCACCATTATCAGTTGCATCACGCAGATCTCGTTAACTTTTCTTCCTCTATCGCTTACAGAAAGAGCACAGTTGTATATGATTCCGTCTTTCTCGAAGATCACACCGCCTTCTTTGTCTAATTTGCTATCCTTGTGTACGCCTCTCTTTCCATACACCTTGATCTGTTGGAATTTGAAGAACAGAGATGAGTGACGTTAATTAACTGTTAACAGAAGTTATGGAAGATGAAGAATCGTTTACTTCGGCGTTTAGAGATTCTAGCGCTTCTTGACTTGGATCTTGCATGTCCCATGGAATTCCTTTTCCGTCAACAGCGAGATCGCTAACGACGTCGTAAGCGTCCAGTGGCTGTGGTTCGTCTTTCTCGATGCTATCGTTCAGCCATGCTTCACGTACTACTGGAATACTTCGCTCTCTGTTTCATTTATTCGAGTATTTTAGATCTAGTGAGAGAAATAGAAAGAGAAGGGGAAGGAAGTAAGATAAGAAACACTCACAATGCTTCTGTAACTTTCGACGATCCTCCTCGATCTCGTTCAGAAGATGACACGACTACACACGTCACTCCGATTACATGATTTGCGACTTTTCCTCCATGTTTTTCGATCTTAGTCTTCCAATATTGCTTCAGAAGACGATGAAAACAGTGAGAAAAGGATATAGAAGTCGTAAAACTCTAAGAACAACGAGAAGAACATATTACATACATGTGTGCGAGAGAGTCGACCAGAGAGAGATATGATCATTCCTGCAAAAGGCTTATCTTTTGACTGTATATCCCTCTTCGGTTTCCCCTTCGGGGTCTCGATGCTCCATCAGTAACTATACAAAAACAATGTAATCGGTTGGATCATAGCAAAAAAAAACACACAATAGAATCAAGGAATATAGGGAATTACATCAGAAATGGGGGAATCCTGCACAAAATCAGGGTATTTGATAGGCTCTTCGGTTCTGGGAGGATCATTGGTGCTATACGTGCATGTAGACCACTCACTGTATGATCCTTCGCAGATGTAATTATGACCATCGTGATGCAGTGTTCCACCGCAGATAGGACACTCCTTTAACACTCCGTAGAACATCATATCTTGACTGAAGAAGCGAATATACACAAATACACAATGAAAATCTCAATGCATGCCAAGTGTTTGTGTTTATGCCTATGAGAAATTAGAACTTACCATCTAGGCACAACAGCATCATCTGAGCCTGAACTATCGGCGTTGTTAGCTTCGAGGATATCACGCATCTGCTTAATCGAGAGATGTTGACTTGTGGTTTTACAGAAGTTATCAAACTCAGCGACAATGTCAGTTAGAGATTTGTTATTCGACTTATTTCCATTGTTGTTGTTGTTATCCTCTGATTTTGGTTTCTTGTTTGGTGATTGCTCGTGTTCTTGCTTCTCCGCTTTCTGCTTTCTGGTCATGATTTTCTCTTCGTCTCCTGGAAGATGATTATGTGATCTTGTATCAACCTTCATGGTAGTGTGTGAGTATGGTGATTTCCTTGAAGAACATAAGATTTGAAGCAACAATGGCGGGGTTAAATTTATTGTGTTCTTTTTGGAGGTGGAGAAAAGAGGTGATGACACGTAGGCTGTATGTGCCTTCTCCCTGTGTTGACATCTGTATCTCTGTAGTGACACGTCTCCGCCGTTTTTACTCTCTCTTTGTTTTGTTTTTTACTATTAAAAGTGGATATTGAATTTTTGGGTAAATCCCTTACCGAGTGTAATTAAAGCGAAGTCTCTGGTCGACGTTATTGTCATTACTCCTCGACATCATCGAATATTGCAAGAGGATATATATCCTTTAATTTCCATGTCATTTTTTTATTTTTTTATTTTAATTGTTTTTCACTTATTGTTTTCGTTTCCTTCGAAACTTGTAACTTATACGGATTGATAAATTAAAATGATAAAATTAATATTCAAATTTATTTGGATGAAATGCTATAATTTGGTAATTTTTAAAATACAATGTTACATCTGGAAGAAATAAAATCAATGCTATGATCAATAAATCAACAAAAATACGTTGACATTTCTTGTCAATTATATAATGTCTTAACGAGGAAAAAAAATTATGATTCAATTTGAGTATTAAGAAGTCATGCCTGAATAAATTGAGAATCTAAAAAGATACAATAAACTTTAGGAACTAATTCTTAAATATACACTACCAACCAACACTTTAACAATTAAATTGACTATGAATTAGGAAGTAATCACCACAACCCCAAATGCATTGAGCATTAGAAGACATTTGTAGAGACACAAATATGATGTTATAGCTGAGTATATTTAACAATACATTGCTGTAATAAGAAAAAATGAAGTAAATTACCTTTTTCCAACAATTTACACAAAGATGCAATAATACATAATTATTTTTTTTACATTGTTATTTCTTGAATATAGATTTAAAAAAAGGGTTTAATGCTAAATGCACTTTGACCTAAGCAACCTATTGTAACCTCAAAAAGACTAGCAAACTTTTTATGAAAAAAATATCTAAACTCTTAAATTGCTCGAATAAAACTTATTATAGCTGATTTACTCGGTTTTGTTGATTCAACCATCCTACCTTGAAGTAATGAAATTACAATGTAATTTCAAAATTGATGGACATGTAAAAAAAGATGAAAATGGTTAAATAGATGGACTTATTTAATTATAAAACCAAGAAATTACTATAAATTTTATAAAGTGTTTTGTTACTAATATATATATATATATATATATATATATATATATATATATATATATATATATATATATATATATATATATATATATATATATATATATATATATGAATCTTAGGAATAATGAAGTTATCATTTTTTTTGGCAGAATTGATCCTTTTATTATTGTTGAGTTTCAAAGTTAGGAATAGTAAATTTGGATGTTTTTATGTCAACTTTGCTCTATATTCTTTAGCCATTTTGATACTTTTTGTCCTTGCAATCAATATTTTTACATTTTAGAAACCTTTTAATATTTAAAGTTTGGTGACAAAACTTTAACGGTTTGACAGTTTTGACCCCTTTTCTAAAAACTTGTTAATTCCTACCCCTTTAATTCTTTACCCATTTTGACACTTCTGGTCCTTGAAGTCAAAACTTTTATATTTTTTTCATAAAAACATTAAAAAACGGTCCGAGGCAAAGCCCGTGTTTTTCATCCTTGCACTTTCTACGTCTGTCATATTTATCGATTCGGAAACAAGATCGAAAGTTTTTGGCCCCCACGTAGCGGGGTAACCTTTCTAGTTATGAAAAAGAAAATGTCATCATCTTGAAAAACCTTTAAAAGAGATTAAAAAAAAAAAAAAAAAAGATATATTAAGTGAGATACGAATATTTTCTAATTTATAATATAATTTGCATGGATGTATTTTTAAGTCTACGATGTAACTTGTATTATTATTATTAAGTCTACGATGTAACTTGTATTATTATTATTTTCTTTTTGATTCATTTTTTCCAAAAGGTTTTTCACTTTTTTATAATTGACCATAATCCTATAATAATTATTTCATTCGTACTATACATAAAAAGATCAATTTGTATGCAACCTCTAATTTACATTATATCTGACACATTGAACTGAATGATATATGAAGTTTTATATTTTTATAATTATAATTTTAAGGAGTTATATATGAGCGTAATAAAATAGTTTTAAAAGAATTTAGAAACATGGTTATAAATAAGCTATCATATTTCAATCTAAATTAGCAAGGTTAGTCCCTTACTGCTCATGCAATATTATGATTGGTTAGTTAAAAAAAAAAAAAAAAACCATAATGCAAGGCTACAATGTGTGAGTTTTAAAAAAACAAAAGTCAAATTGCAATATTATAATTGCTTAGTTAAAAGAAAAAAAAAGAATCAAAAACTTATAATACAAGTAAATAAAGAACACACCAAAAAAGTAGATCAAAAACCTTATTTAATGCACGTATGTCTAATTATTTGTAGCTTCCTTAAATGTTTGGGTGTGTTGTACTGCATCATATGAAGAAACTAATGTTAATCATATGATCTAAATCAAAATCCTATGTAGTTGAAAATGGCCGTTACCTGAATTCATAATGTCAAACTCCAATGTGAAACCGAAATTAATACCGAAATACTAAAATTGATCTTCTCTCTCAGTTGATGTTGTGTTTCCCTCTCTAACACAATCTTATAATCCTCTTTTTTAATGTCAAATGATAGAAAATTGAACAACACCAATGTCCTGCTTTTATTCACCATCATATTGATCTCCTTGTTTTTGAGGTTTTACAATTTACATGTATACGTAGCAAAAAACCCCAAGATTATAGTGCTAACGGTTATTGTCTAAGTTCAAGCAATTAACATTATAGCTAATAAATTATGTTCTTTTTTTTGTCATTGAAACCACATGATTTATGTTCCTTTTGTATTGACATTAGTTGATATGCATATTAATTAATAATACAATCATATTGAAATATTTGAATTCCAAAGCATTAAAATTTTCCATATCAGTCACTTTGTTGCAAAATGTATTAATTCTACATATTTATGTATTAATATAATATATGAGGTTACACTATACCTTTTATATATGCACTCCAATGCTTCTTTAAACTCTATAAGACTTGATACATATAAATGATCCAAGATTTGCAGATCAATAAACAATATTGAGTCAATGAAACAAACATTAGAATCAAAATGTCCATGTTTTTTTCTTTAATGTAAAGAAAGAGCAACCTAAATATGCTAAAATGAAAACAAAGCCACTCTAAAATTGAATACACCAAATTCATATACATGAGGTAATACAACACAAATTAGCATATATCAATCCTAATGTAATCACAAAATTAAAAACTAGAATGATATATGTATTCATTAAATATTGTTTTTACCTTATTGAACCTCTTCTTCTGCAACACATTCCCCTTCCATCTCCGTCAACCTAAAAGAAGAAAACCAAAGACCCTAAGTTATGCTCATATAAATAATATTTATATTGAAACCATATGAAATCAATCAACTGAATGAGTGAGGACATAATTCAAATTTACAACTTCACATTCATCAAAAATAGTATGATCATTCCCTTCTCAGCCACAAAAGACTACTATCATCTGCTCTCTCACATTTATGTCTTCGATCAGAAAGGAAATAGATGATATGGACATTACATCGAGCACCTGGTGTGCACAAGCAACATTATCATTATGAATTCAAGCATGAGATTTCCCTCGTTAACACAAAGAAAACAGAAAAGTAAGAAAATATAATAAATTTACCTCTCGTGGTTTCATGTTTGATATCTTCTGGTTCAAAGATTTGCTTAATTAGTTTTGGTTGTGGGGAAAAGATTAAAACCCTCTCTATATAAATCCTGAAAGATATCAAGGAACCTATCCAAAAGCAAAGCATCATACTCACAAGTTTTTCTAGGCGGTGTCTATTTCCATCGCATTTGTAGCACACACACACAAACCAGAACACAAGGTCAATGTTTTACTTCTTTCTTTTCAACATTGAAAAATGAAACTAAAACTAAAACAAAGGAAATTGGAAGAAGAAAAGAAAATGAAATTCATGATTTGGTTCCTCATATCATTGTCACTTACACATAATCCCTGATTTTGTGGGATAGATTGGCAGTTTCATTTGATTGAAACCAATTTAAAAGGATAGTATACGGGCGCATGGAATTTAAAATAAGAGAAGGGTAAAGCCGAAAATTCACTTTGGTATTTTGAGCAGGAAAATCCGAATGGGAGGTGCTTAGACCGGAGGGAGTGGGAGGGAAGCTTCCTCACTTTTTGTGGGCCATACCATTTTTCCCTCACATTTCTTTTCCTCACCTAAAACTCAAGGAATGGGTGGGAAGCCCCCCTCACTATTTTTTTATTTTTAAAAAGGGAGATCTCCAATAAAGTCATAAAATTTTGGCTCGGTTTACGTTTTAGCCCTAAACTAATTTTTGTTTACGAAAAAATCCTAAAACCGGAAAAAGTATGCATTTTAACCATTTTTGACTGGTTGGAACCGTCAACAAATTAATTTGGAACTATTTCATAAACTGACCCAAAATATTGGGACTATTTCACAAAATGACCCAAAATATTGGGACTTTTCTGCAAAAAAAAAAATATTAGGAATTTTCTGCAAACAAAAACCTTATTATTATTATTATTATTATTATTATTATTATTATTATTATTATTATTACTGTTATTATTATTATTATTATTATTATTATCCAACAGATCCACAATAAATATTTACATTGGTGATCCATATCAAAATTAGAAAATATTAATTAAAATATCTTATTTAATAGAAAGTAATATGACTTGTTTTGCTTTATCACACAATATCTACTACGTTTTCAAAAAAACCACAAGGATCAAATAATGAAAAAGAGCAACACACATGTTGGTAATTTAAATACTTACACACAAGACATACATGCATATCACACGCTTACTATTTGTAAACAATTTGAAAAACCAGTAGCTTCTTTTAAATTGTTAAATATTAATATTCTGAATTAAAAACAATAATAACAAATGTGAAATGATCATATACAATGTTAGAATATACAAACAGACATTCATGATTTTAATGCTTAAAGCATTACCATCCACTCAATTTTCACCTTTATAAAATGTCTTTAATATTTTTTAAATTTAAATGTATTTATATGTATTATTAACAATATTAATAATAACAAAATTAAAAAAATGGTATACTTATTTATATTTTTAATAATAATAATAATAATAATAATAATAATAATAATAATAATAATAATAATAATAATAATAATTATTATTATTATTATTATTATTATTATTATTATTATTATTATAAGGTTTTTGTTTGCAGAAAAGCCCTAATA